TCTCTGAATTATATTGTTGTTACCTAAGTCTAATAATGAATGAAGTGTTGAGTCTGTTTAAAAAAAACAAACAATCAAATAAACCAACTTCATTTTAATAGACTTAAATGCAGAATTAGATAAAAAGTTTGAGAAATCAGAAATAAAATCTGGTAAACAGGCTAAGAGGAAGCAAAACCATTAAACACTGAGAATGATAAGGACCAGTCTAGGAAAATAAGTTCAAATGTCAACTTTGCTTTAGAAAAGATCAATTCATTAGTGGTACAAATGCAAGAAGTTTAATCACTTTCAGAATTAATCATCTCTTATCACAACCTACATAAATGTTTCCAAAGCAGTGGGGCCCCATCATGCCAAACAAGGCAAGCAGTGGTTGTCTAGTGAAATCTAAAAATAGACATAAATTAAAAATGTACAAAAGTGAAAGCAATCTCTTTCCTTTCATCTCCAGCAGTGTTCTGTCAGAAAAACTTCTTGCCTATTTGCACCATGCTCTAAATGAGTGCCCCTGCTTGACAGCAAACCACTGAAATCTGTTTGCGGTTAGCATTTTTAATGGGCATTTCCATGTATTGTCAACAGTGGCTTAAGCTTTTCAAGCTGAGACTACTGGTCTTGAGTAAACCTTCTGGTCTTTGATGGGACCCTGTTGGGAAACTAGAGTGCTAGACAAGCTCCCATTAGCTCTGATTTAACTTCTCTGAGATAAGTACCATTGGTTTATGGAAACAGAGGTAGTATTAGCAAGCCCCCCTGCATTTATCACAAACTGATAAGTTTCTTTGTACTGTATGCTCTTCACTTGAAATAGAGACGTGAAGTGATCTTGAAGACGTGAAGTTGTTGGGGGTGGGGATGGGTAGATGTCTTTTCTGATAATGCTGCAGAAAACTTATGTAGGCACCATTTACCAGCATGTCTACCACAATGATTTGCAGTGGCATTCAGTTGTGGTATGCAGCTAGTGTGATACTAAACATGTCAAGGCCTAATCTAAGTGGGACATCAGAGTGCTACAACCTGTTAGCCAATAAATGTTTTCATTTAAATTTTTGAATTTTTATTAAGTTTCTAAACCTGAGAGTAAACTTCTATAAAATAGGTTTGGATTTAGGTGTTTTAGGTCACTTATTGACAATATTCAAGAAAACAGAAACTTTTTTTTCCAGCTTCAGTTTGTCAGCATTCTGCACTTTGTAATGTACGAATGACTGTTGCTGCTGTGGATTTGGTGTACGCTTTACAGGTTATTAAAGGGTACCCTTCTCAGGCTCAAGACTCATTTTAAACACAAGTCCTCACCCTGAGAAGCATACCCTGCTTTATCGTCCATTTTAGACAGACAGTCCTATATTAGTAAATTTTGAAAATTTGCACCGGCAAATAGGTAGCAGCATAAGCAAAAGCATAAAAAGCCATGTGTAAAAAAACATAGCAGTAAAAAATAATTAGAAGAAAACTCACAGTATTAAAGGTAGACAAAACGTCTTATCACAATGGTTTACGTTATTTAGGCCTAGAGACTCAAGCAACCAAAAAAGGTAAAAAAAACATACGTATTCTGTCACCAGTTGGCGAGTGGTTTCTGGAGGTTAATGGCAACTGCTAGTTTGAAATTGTGCCAATGTGGTGCTGTACTAAAAAAAAAAACCTCCTTCTGATTGCTCTACTAGTTTGACACTGTAGTTTGCGCCACAAATTTGTGTCAGATTTCCAAGCTGGGATTCTATGGGGATCGACTTTTTTTTGGAGTCAGTTCTCCACTGGCTTCATGCTTTTTTGGCAAAACAGATCACTATTAACACATGCACACAGAAACTTAAAGGTGAAACTAAATTACTTTTTGCTGTGTAGTTCTATTATCTTATTTCAGTTGCAGTCATTATATTGATTCTATCTGGGCAACAAATGTAAACATTATCTGTTTTGTATTGAGCAGGGTGGAGTCAACATATGTATTTGCTTGGTTGTCATATTGATTTAGTAGGTGTTTCTTGCAGTACAAATGAGTTTCTGGATCAGTGCCGAAAGTGACAATAAGACCAAGAGACGACAGAATTCTTTATTTGAACTGCAAATATCAGCTAGGATGATGTGGTTATGATGTGGCACAAAAATTGTGCTAAAAAAATAGCTCAACTTTTTGATCATCTTCAAAAAGTGAAGTGTCTACTTCAAAAAAGGGTCTGCTCACCTTCTGCCAGTATCCTGCCAAAGAAAGACCAATAGGTTCATCCAGATATTCAAGTACTTGCTGGCATGATATGGAGTAAAAACTTACCTTTAATGGAGTCTAAGCAAATCTCCAAGTGGTGCAAAAATCACAGGAAACAATCGCAGACTTGACACATAGGAGACAGGATAACGCAGACAAGGAAAATAAATTAAATGAACAGAAACTAGATTGGAAAAGTAATTGAATTTCAACTGCAAGATTGGAAATCCACAACTCAAAAACACTGGGTTAAAAACTGCTGGACCAGGAGATAAATAAAGATTCAAATAAAACAAGAAAAAAGCTTAAACATAAAGTTATTCATTTTCAAAAGGAAATTAATAGAATAGAATAGAATAGAATTCAACTTTATTGTCATTGCACATGCACAGGTACAGGGCAACGAAATGCAGTAAGAAAATGTGTAATACTTGGACGGACTGTGACATTTGGATTTTCAATGTCCCATCATATTTTTGTAACCTTGTTACAATGAGAAACACTTCTCTTGTTCTAACACTGACCTTTGTTGCATGGTGGCAAATCCTACAAAAATATATACAAAAGGTTAACATATCCTTTAAACCAGAGGAGTGTAAGTGCGTTAAACCTCCAGTTATTCTATTGGTCAGCATGGGGTGACTACTCTGGCTGCAAAAAAGCCTGAATTTTCAAAAGTATATTAATGGTTTCAGTCCTCTGAGAGGAGATTGATGGCTAAGCTATCAACTCTCATGGAAATCCCACACCATGTACAAAACAGTGACAACGCTGGGCAGTTCCTTCAGTGACAGACTGATTCACCTGCAAAATCCAAAAAAGGTACAGTCCCTATCAAAAAGTTTAAGATATTTTGCATGGATCTTAACAAGGTTACAAGTAGAGTTTCAACATGCAACGAGAAGAAATGGGAGTGAAAACATTTTCTGAGCACACAATTTATTGGAAACAACACTGGAACTGAACAAAAGGTTTTGACTGTATGCCAAAAGGCCAAATCTGTGCAAAAATGTGGATTCATTGTCATTTTCGTTCAGGTAGTTACACTGTCATGATGTCCTGATGGCAAAGGCAAAAAAAGTTCCCTTTTTGAACGTGTTGGGTTGTTGAACTGCATAAGCAGGGTCTCTTGCAGCGTGCCTTTGCTGCTGAGGTGGGATGCAGTAAGAGAGTCATTTGGAATTTCTTAAAAGATCCTGAGGGTTGTGGAACAAAAAAGTCAAGTGGAAGACCCCCAAAAAATTCACCAGCACTCAGCTGGAGCTCAAGATACTGGACGATCCTCGACTTAAATTAAGACCATTACTGGTGCCGACTGCAGCCCCATAACCATCGGATGGCATCTGAGACTGAAAGGCTTCAAAAATAAAATTGTCTTCAAAGGCCTCGTCTCCATGAACGCCAGAGAACTGACCGTTTGGACTTTGCAAGAGAGCACCAAACATGCAACACTGAAAGGTGGAAGAAAGTTTTATTCTCTGATAAGAAAAAAAAGTAACCTTGATGGTCATGATGGTTCCCAACTTTATTGGCATGACAATCAGATCCCACCTGAGATGTTTTCTACATGCCACAGTGGAGGCGGGGCCATAATGGTCTGGGGTGCCTTTTCCTTCAGTGGAACAATGGAGCTTCAGGAGGTGCCGGGGCATCAAACGACCGCTGGCTATGTCCAGATGTTGCAGAGACCATCCCTCATGACTGAAGGCCTTCGTCTGGATTTTTCAACAGGACAGTGCTACAGTATTCAATGCCTGCAGGACAAGGGACTTCTTCCTAGAGAATAACATCATTTGGACCATCCTGCTTGTTCCCCTGATCTAAATTGAATTGAGAACCTTTGGGGATGGATGGCAAGAGAAGTTTACAAAAATGGACAACAGTTCCAGAAAGTAAGATGCCCTTCGTGCGGCCGTCTTTACCACTTGGAGAAATGTTCCCACTCACCTCATGGAAATGCTTGCATCAAGCGTGCCACAATGAACTTTTGAAGTGATCAGCAATAACGGTGGAGCTACTCATTACTGAGTTCATGTTTGGAACTTTGAATTCTGTTTTGGGGGAGTTTATGTTTTTTTTTTGGAGGTGTAGCCCATAGAATCCTAGCTTGAACCAATCTGGCCATTCTCCTTTGACCTCCAGCAGTATGGTTTTTTTTTTTGTTCTGTCTGCCTCCAGAAACTATATGCAGCATGGATTTTGATAAATACCACTCTACTGCTTATTGCTTGCTTAATTACACTTTATTTATTACAATACTAAACAAAGAAACAAAAGAAAACAAACAGTTAAACATTTTACACAGGAAGAAGCAGATATGTAATTTATAAGGCAGTAGAAATAGACCTGTGTAAGTGTAAAGAGCATTACAGCTGGGTTTTATATCAGAGGACGTGAACAGCCAACGATTCATCACTAAGGTATTTGTGATGTAATTGACACTGATGTTATTGGTATTTACTCAGTTTTACTTTGTATAATTTGTACAATATCAGTATAGATTTATGTATCAAATGGAAAGATATTTAATCATGCCATGAGATATACATTAGTACTTAGTACTGAAGACGTAAACCATAGAGATGGGAAAATCCTAATGAAATAAGTGAGTGTCTACTTCCATTGTGTTATATGCAGTTATAGGGGCTGCATAGTGAATTGGTTTAAACAGTCATGTAACAACCAAGATCCCTGGTTTGAGACCTAAACGAGAAAGCAGGCAACTTCAGTATCACTGGTGCCAGTGTTTACTTTCTCTTTATCCCAGTGTTGGTCATGTTGTCTCTTTTCTTTGTGCATTTGCTTCTTTGATGAATGGGACCCCTACTCAAATGAAAAAACACAGACATGATGAAACAAGCCGAAATTGAAATTTGTCTCCACACAAATGCCTGTGAGGTGTCCTGTCTTCTGTTTTTGGCATACAGCATATGAGACCAGTCTCTAGCCACATACATAAAATGTGATTAGGCAGAAAGGTGATTTTCATCACAGGCACTATTCATGATGGCAGGGCAACATGGGAGCTTTCACAAGCACTCATGTATTTTCATATGTCTTTTTAATGGATTAATGATGATACATCAGTCTGTCGGAAATTACAAGAACAATATTTTTTGCATAAAATAATAAAAAAAATGTCTGACTATATACCTTTAAATATCATCTAAACCAAGCAGCTCACTGAAGAAGAAATAGACGATTATAATTATTACTAAGCTTGATAGGTAGAGGAAAAATGGCAAAAGCAAAAAACTTAATGACTTCTGATTAATTCATAATGCACTTTTGAATGTAAAATCTAGACCCCAGAGGTCTTGACAGTAGAATAGGTGCATAAGTCAGAACTATAGGTTATCTTCTTCTTGGATCGCTCTGTTGCTTGACGTGTTTCCACTGTAGCATAAAGCACATCTTCATCCTGTGAATGAATTTGTTTGTAATTATGAATATGATTGGTTTTCTATAAATAATTCATTTTGTTAGAATTAATTATTAATTATGACAAGCGCTGAAAAAGTACGGATTGAATATTAATGTAATTTACCTGAGTTCTTCTTGTTTTCCCACTGGTTTCTGGTCTTTGTTGATCAACTTCTGGCCACAGAAATGAATACATCATTAAAAAATAAAATCCACCATTATACTGACTTAGATGTAGTAACCTCATTGCCTGGAATTTTCTTATGTTAGCAAAATGCTTTTAAATTTTGCACAAATTGTTAAGTTTACAAATTGAGCTGATGAAAAAACTAAGTAATATACTAATTTGATGATAAGAGGATTGATTGAAAAAAGTACCATATTTAGCAATTACCTGTTTTCTGGCAGAGGTAATGAACAAGAAGAGAGACAAGAGAGGAGAGAGCTGCAAAAGTTGGACACAGGATGAAGAGCAGTTTCCAACACATGCCGCAGTCTTGTGGAGATGTTTGACCAGTTAAAATTGAAGAATGTGGATCACTGAAATCTAAATTGTTCACAAACATGTTTCAGTTAGGTCTCTGTGTATATTTTTTTTTATCATTCTAATGTTTGAGATGTTGAATCTCAGTCATCAGAAAACTAGAAAAACTCATTTGAAAAGAAAACATGCATGGCAATCAAAATATGTTTCGTTTAAAAAAAGTTAATCTTGCTTTTCATTATTAATGGTCTGACACTTCATATTAAATATGTCAGCAATGCACAATGTTACTGATAGAATATTTAAACTGCAATTCATATAAAATGCATTTTGACAATTTTAACCTAAAAAGTTTCAAATAATTGTGTAATCATGTAATGGTTTCAGAATATGTCATTTTTAAAATTGTTTTTGACAATTAACCTGAGTCTAAGTTACAGTTACATTTTTAAATATTGATACTAATGTTTAATGTTAAAAAAAAAAAATCACATGAGCACTTACTGATTTTAATCCTTGTCGCCACACTGCCATAACTCTGAACAAATTCAAGGTTAATATCCTTTTTATCCTGTAGCTGTTTCTGCTCAGTTCCACAGTAATAGAGGCCCTCATCAGAATCAGAAATATTCACAATCAGCAGGTCATACGATCCAGAGGACTGGTTGTTTACAAAGTGGAAGCGAGGTAGAGAATTCACTAAAGTTGCTCGGTTACAGATGGGTTTCCACGAATCCTTTGTTAGTTTTAGGACAAGAGGAGGCTGATTTTCATGGGTACAATTTCTGTACCACACAATATATTCCTCAGGTGGTTTTGTAGAGTCACAATACAGAGTTATGTTTTCACCCAATCTCACTGTCAGATCCACCACTGATCCAGAAATCCAATCACCTCCTGAAATACAAAACACAATAACAAATTTTGCCAGTGTTTCACATTGTACAACATAGTTGTAAGTGTTGACTAAAGAAGTAGATTTAGATGATGTCAAATATAATCAGTAGAACAGGTAAATGTTAAATAAAATGAATGTTTCATAAAAGCTCCTTCCAAAATATTACCTAAAAAAAGGACAAAAATGATGCGAAGTCTGTCCATGTTTGACGACGACTTGCAGTCAAAAGATATCAAAAATGGTCTCACTCTTGAGTGTCCCCTTCACAGACGTTTCCTTTTAAGGAAATTCAAGTTCTGATTGGCTTGTTGAATGGAACCTTTTATTCTGTGGCTGTTTTCTGTTCGTTTGATTTTATGTGAATGAAAATAACACATGGACACAATTGCACTGCATGCATAGATCCATAATAAAATCAGGAAGCATGAATGAAATTATGTATTAGACTTGAAGTGTGCAAAATATGGTTTAGTTTGTGCTTGGAACATATTAAAAACTAGATTTGGATTTAGAAAACATGTAATGCTAATGTCACATTTTCACAAGCATTCAGGACAATTTAACCCAGTTCCATCCCTCCATTTTTACCTCCAAAGAGATCACTTAAGCAGCAGTTCAGTAGCCCATGTCCATATAAGTGAGGTGAGGAATGTTTATTCACCAGCACTGAATCAAGAAAAAAAGCAAGTAAAACTTGTGACACTTTTCACTGATGCCAGTCACAATGATCTTTATAAAGGTCATGCATAACACAAAATTGGAAATTAAACCAACACAACTCTAAAGAAGAAAAATCAGGACAAAAGTTGAAGAATTTAAACAATTAAGTCTCTGCATTAAAACAGACCTATTCAGCTTGTATATCGTTGCAGATGGTTCATTGATCAGCATGTCAGTATCTTGCTCATTTCTTCCTACACTTGTGACCAAGACTCTAAACTGTGCGTAAAATGGACTGAACCGAACAGGCTATAGCTAGAAGACATAAAAAATGCGAATTCTCGTATTGTGTAACATAGACAAAGAGAGACAGGGTTAAATAGAGACTTGATTTCATCATAACCCGTTTAGTTTGGAGAGGGATTTTTCTTAGATTCAAACTGTAAAGGGAGATTTTTAGTGGATAACCAGAACTGACTTGGAAGGTAGCTCAGTGAAGGTTTTTGGTGGAAGTCAGCCAGATACTTGTTCTTCCGCTTGATTCTAAGAAAGAGGGGACAGATTTTCTCAATTTCTCACCACACCAGGGAAAAGCAGAGGTTAGTAGCCCGTTGAAGACTTGAATGGGAGGAAGTCATTAGTAGTGGTATTCACCTGATCCAGGACAACGGAGAGCTCCAGGTTGATGGGTAGACTCATCGAGAACCTGGTTAGTTCTCTCCACTTGCCTGTTGATCTGGAGATGGAAGCCAGAAGAGAGACTAGCCCAGGGGTGGGCAACTCCAGGCCTCGAGGGCCGGTGTCCCTGCAGGTTTTAGATGTGTCCTTGATCCAACACAGCTGATTTAAATGGCTAAATTACCTCCTCAACATGTCCTGAAGTTCTCCAGAGGCTGGTAATGAAGTAATCATTTGATTCAGGTGTGTTGACCCAAGGTGAGATTTAAAACCTGCAGGACACCGGCCCTCGAGGCCTGGAATTGCCCACCCCTGGACTAGTCTGAGCTCCCAGTGCTGGACACAGCTCCTTCCAAAGAAATGAGGTTAACTGAGGTTCATGGGAAGAAACAATGTCCCGTGGGCAATCACATAGTCAGAAGAAAGGTGAGAAACTGGGCTGTTTTTACAACCAAGGAGAGTTTGAGAGGAGCAACAAAATGGACAGACTTGGAAAACTCTTCAATGATTTTCAAGATGACTGTGTTACCTGAGGAACATCAAAGACCAGTGACAAAATCTGGAGGATCAGCGTGTTTCTTGAGAGAGAAAGGCTTCCTGAGTAGTGGAGTTCTGGGAGATGTCAGTTTAGTAGCGGTTAAGCAAGCTTGCTGAAATTCCAGATGAAACGGCAATAAAACTTTTTAAAACCAAGGAAGTGTTGATGCTGACCATACACACAAATCAGACCACACAATTTTCTTGTTATGGGTTTCTTTTTCTTTTATTCGGTTTGTGCACCGTTTTCTGTTTGGCACCAATGTCGTGTTGGACTCCCCTAACCCATCACAGCTCCCAGTGTCACTAAAAAGGGAGAAACCTAATTACTGCAAATGAGCTGGTGCTGGTCCATCAGCCTCCCTGGCATTGCCCCTTGAGCCTGTTGCACCACGCCTCCCCCTCCTAAAGACCTCACACCACCACAGACACCAATCAATACTGGGGTTAAAAGTACTGAGCCAGGGATGACCAAAGGCCAAGGTAGTGCGAGATGCTTCAAAAACAACTAAACTGATCTGCTTGATATGATTGCCAGATAGTGAGAGTGATAAAGGTTGTGTTTTCTCTAGCGCTCAGAGAGAATTTGTGAAGTTCTTGAGAGAGAACTTAGCTGAAATCATAAGTCTGGGTAGGGATAGAAAAGTTATAGAAAAGTTCATATTTCCAGAGCTGAGTGTAAAAGAAAAGCTCTCAATTTACAGGTCGATCTACGCCCCTACCCTCACCTATGGTCACAAGCTTTGGGTAGTGACCGAAAGAATGAGATTGTGAATACAAGCGGCAGAAATGGGCTTCTGGCTGGCCTCTCCCTTAGAGATAGGGTGAGAAGTTCGGCCATTCGGGAGGGGCTCAGAGTAGAGCCGCTGCTTCTCCACATTGAAAGAAGCCAGTTGAGGTGGTTCAGGCATCTGACAAGGATGCCCCCTGGGCGCCTCCTGGGCGAGGTTTTCCTGGCATGTCCCACCGGGAGGAGGCCCCGGGGCAGACCCAGGACACGCCGGAGAGATTATATCTTTCGGCTGGCCTGGGAACGCCGTGGTGTTCCCCGGATAAGCTGGAGGAGGTGGCTGGGGAGAGGGAGGTCTGGGCTTCTCTGCTTGGGCTGCTGCCCATGCGACCCGGCCCTGGATAAGCGGAAGAAGATGGATGGATAGATGGAAGTTGTAGAAAATTCTCCAAATGAAAACTGACTTTGATGAGAACAATACCACTGAAGGGCTAAGTCTCACGTCTGTTGTTCATAATAAATTCGTTAAAGTTAGAAGTCTCAGAATTTACACCTCCTGTCACTAGATGTTCTATCAGTGCTTCCAGTATCCTAACCAGAAACACCTTTTGATGTTCACTTTTTTATAGGGTCTTCGCTATGGGGAGTAGATTTCATCACAGTGGATGACTTTCTGAAAGTGCTGTAACTAGAGCTGGGCGATAGAACGATAACGATATGTATCGCGATATAACTTTTACTCGATAGAGAAATTAAGCTATCGCGATAGACCTCGCCGCTCTTGTCCTCTTAAAATAAAAAATCCAAACTAAGTAGCGCAGAGCCGAACCAATCACAGCCGCAGCGTCACGTCGCGTGACTTGTTACGTACAGCACAAGTGCCAAGCCGCACGTGTGTTTGTTTGGGAAGCAGCCAGCGGGTAATGGAGGAAATGAGTGTGCCGACTAGAAAAATCAACCGAGCGTGACCGAAGAGAAAACAGATGACGGTTCCAATGCCGGAGAGATTGTCGAACGGAAGAGCCATAGAAGTTCCGTAATTTGAAGGTATTTCGGCTATTTCAAGTCTGACAAAAAACAGAGTAGCATGCACTGTAAATTGTGCCGAAAGCAAGTCTGGAAATACAATAAACTGGTGCATGCGTCACACTGTGCGCCACGTTATTGTTTCGGTGAAATGAATTTCTACAATACTGTTACTGTTAATTCTACTCTCTGCAGTGTTTAAATGCTTACATATACACACAGTTACTGTCCGTCCACACACACGACTCTGTTCTGCTTCTATGCCCCAGCTTTGTTTACTTTTTCCCACCGAGGCTTCTAGACTTCTGATTGGCCAACATTTCTGCACGGTTAGGAATCTAGCTCCACCTGCTGCTTTGGCATGTTCCTAGCAGCGTTTTTCTTCATTTCTGCCTTTATGTGTGGACGGGATTATTTTTTTTAAAACGAAAACGGAAAATCTCCGTTTTCAAAAATACCCGTGTACGTGTGTACGTAGCCTCAGTCTCTGACTGGAAGCGCTAATTCGTCATTCGGCTTTTATCAGACTAAAGTAACTGTTAAAACTGTTTGAAAAGCTAAGCTATACAACAAGGAGAGATTGAGAATTTCCTTTTAGTTCTCAGTTTATTTGATATTGACAAAAGTTAGTCAGTTTTGTCTGTTCTTCTGTAAAACAAACTAAGATTTATTTTTAGAATTAATATTTTGTTTCTAAGTGGAATTGACAATTTAGTAGTCTGTTTCGTTTGTTCTATTTTGAAACTTAAACGCTTTAGCGGCTGCCTTTTGTGTAGTTTGCAATATTTGCCTTTATTTATCTGAAAAAGTCTCATGTTCCTTAAGTACATCTACCCTGTTGAACTTATTATGGGAAATAAATATTTAAATAAAAACAAGCTGCTGATTATTTCACATTTTACTTGTGAGCAACGGCACATTTAAATCTTACAAATATTGTTATTTGGCTTATATCGTGATAGATATCGTTATCACCTGAAATGAAAAAAACATATCGTGATATGAAAAAATCTCATATCGCCCAGCTCTAGCTGTAACTAAGTTTAAGAACATAATTCACCCACTGTTAACATCTTCAATGCGTTGCACCAACACAGAGCAGAGCAGCTACCTGAATGCTACTCCAACAGAGATCGATTATCTTGTTAATAATTTTAGCTCCTCACTACACATAACTCTGGATACTGTAGCTCCTGTAAAAAGAGAGCCTCAGATGAGAAGTACTTTATTCAGTATAACTCTCAAAAACGTAGCTTAAAGCAGATAACTCATAAGCTGGAGAGGAAATGACATAAAACAAATTTAGAAGATCATCATTTAGCCTGGAGAAATAGTTTGCTGCTTTATAAGAAAGTCCTCCGGAAAGCTAGAATATCTTACTATTGATCACTGATTGAAGAAAACAACCAACTTTCCTCCAAACCATTGACGTGCCTTTTAGACTCCATTCCTACAAGACTGCTCAAGGATGTCCTACCATTGATTTATGCTTCTTAAATATGATCAGCCTATCTTCTATGTACCACAGGCCTTCAAGCTGGTAATAGTTAACCCTTTACTTAAAAAGCCATCTCTTGATCCAGCTATCTTAGCTAATTAGGCCAATCTCCAACCTTCCTTTCATATTAAAAAATCTTGAAAGAGTAGTTGTCAAACAGCTAACAGGTCATCTGCAGAGGAATAGCTTATTTGAAGTGCCCCTGACAGTGGACACATCTCTGTGATTGTCATGTTAGACCTCAGTCCAGCATTCGATACTGTCGACCATAATATCCTATTAGCGCAATTAGAGCACACTGTAGGTATTACAGGTACTGCGCTGCAGTGGTTTGTATCATATCTAACAGACTTCAATTTGTTCATGTAAATGGAGAGTTTTCTTCATACACTTCATACAAGGTTAATTATGGAGTTCCATAGGGTTCAGTACTAGGACCAATTCTGTTGACTTTATACATGCTTCCCTTAGGTAGTATCATCAGAAGGCAAAACATTTATTTTCACTGCTTTGCAGATGTTACCGGCACCAGACCTAGGGGAATCTGGACCGGCAGCAAGCAGCACACAGGCTAGAGAGCACTGCGTAGCCAAATATGAGCAAACTGTGGATTAATAGAGAGGACACCGAAGTTAGCGTCTTGCTCAGGCCGGAGCTCATTTATTTCTCTACATATACACAATACAAATCACACTAGACCATGCATTCTTCCCATAAAATAACAGAGTTCATAAACAAAAATGAAGTTACAAAAAGCATTCTCTCAAAAGCAAAATAAATACAAACTAATTCAAAATGACTTTACATACTCACAACTTAAACAAAACACTCACGGTTAAAGCATAACAACATACCAAAATAACCCATCTCACATTCACACAACCTTTCCCCACATTCGCGCCATATACGCTATTACTTTTGAACATGGCGTCCCTTGAACGCAACATAACATGGCGGCAGACGACTGCAACGTTGTTTCACCAACAAAAAGCTTTCCTCTTAATACATGTACTCAGTACTGCTTGGCTAACACTAAAACAAACACTACAACACATTTTCGGAAGTCGCAGGTTGCCACTGTCATAGCATATACTTGTAGTGCTACGTAGCATTATAGCATTATGCCGATGATACACTAATACTCATTACAACAAAATACCACAAAACAACATCATCACTCTCATCTCAAAATATAGCCGAACAGTTGTTACTCAACTTACATGACATTTAGAACCAGTTCGGTAACATAAAAGTTTGTTTGTCAGTACCTGTAGATTAATAGAGAGGACACCGAAGTTAGCGTCTT